CAGATCTTTAGGGCTTCGAGTTGCGAAATTCTGGAGGAAGAAAGCAGCCTTGGGATGTCCGATTGGTGAAGCCTTCCTATCTGCAGCTGAAGAGTTTGCTTTACTCTAACAAATTATTTGCTCTTCTTGAATTCCACTTAGTTGCTTTAATGAACTTCTGTTGTTTATTGGGTATTTGCACGTTGAGATTTTAGTGGAATAACACAATTAGTTTTTGTTGATTAACATGCTTGGGATGAATTCTGTTTCACTCACTATTTTAATCAGCAAGCTTTTTAATACGAGTAGCCAAATTTTTATGTCCAGGAGCATGATGAAGTTGCTATGATTTAGTATGAATTGTGATTTTAGTTATGTTAATTGATTGAGTTTTATCCATTGTTCTTATTCGCTTAATTGATTATGTTAACTTCTGGCCAATTTTAGCGTGATTGATTAAGTTGTTTGAGTGGATTAATAGAGTACATGTCATGCCTATTAGTTTGAGCTCTTTTGGATAAAAAATAGATAATTTAGCTGTCTTGTTAGGTTATCTATTTGGTTCTTAAATCGGGTTTTTGTAGTTCTTCTGTGATTAATGGACTTTAACTATTGAATTAATAATTTCGTGTTGATTAATAGTTAAAGTACGTGACTTATTCTGGACGCCATACAAAATAGTCATATTTTTGCCTAGAACGAACCCTCAATTTGAGTGACTAACTAAATCACAAATACTAAGAATTAGTGACAGAAACATAATCCTGGACTATTTTTCTCTTGCTGAATTCTCAATCATTTTTCTGTTATTTAATCATTTAGTTGTTTTAATCTTTTAAATTCCTTGCATCCATATATTTTAATTCAAGCCGTACTTTTCAGTTTAAATCAAACAAATTCAAAAGCTCATTTTTTTAGTTAATTTAATTTCACTTTTATTTTTTTATTAATAGTTTTCCAATTACTTGGTTACATTTTCCCCGTGGATTCGACCCTTACTTGTGCACTATACTAATGTGACTCGTGCACTTGCGAGGACGGTTGAATTGTCTATCATGTATCATTGCCATAAGTTAATATTTTGTCTGTTTGTTTTGTCATAAACTCTTTCTAGTCTCTGATTTGATTAAGTTTTCAATTGTTGTATTCTTGTAATTCCATATTACTTTAAATTCTTAGGCTGCCTATTTTGCTCATTCTAGTTGTGTAAGAGTGTGAATGGTATTGAGGTTGTGCTAATATATACTTGGTCTTTATTTTGGTTATTTGGATTACTTATTCTACTGATTTCGGTGCGTATCAGATACTACATTGTTTTCTATCTCCAAATCATCTAGTAAAGACGATTTAGACATGCATTGCATGAATCAGAAACTGAAGGTAAATGCATTGCATGTGTGGCTGCATTTAGAAAACTAGAAATAATTAGGGAAAATGGAAACTAATAATCCAACCTTTTAGCGGTCTTCTTTCGATAATCCCACTTTTTGATTATTCATGAATAATCCAACCTTTGCATCTCATCTTCATTCACTAGTCCCTGACCGGTTGATGACCTACCTGCTATTCCAAACTATTTTCTTATCTTTGCAAATCATTATACCATAAATATCATCTTTCACAAAGATAATATTTTGCAAAGATAAGAAAATAACTTGGAATAGCAGGTCATTAATCGATCAGGGACCAACGAATGAAGATGGGATGCAAAGGTTGAATTATTCATGAATAATCAAAAGGTGGGATTATTTAAAGAAGACCGCTAAAAGGTTGGATTATTAGTTTCCATTTTCCCAAATAATTATATAAATATGACCGAAATAAAGATGATTTACAAAAATATGACTAGTTACTAGAGTAGTAATGAAATCATAGTAATTCATATTCAAGTTTTGAACTTAAGTACATTACCACAACACTACGTTGTAGTAATGAATAGTCATATTTATGTAAATAAGTTTTATTTTAGTAATATTTTTTTGTAAAAAACCTTAGAACTATCCAAGAAAAGATGATTACCATAATTTTATCCACTACACCCGTTTTGCAATTCACTCTCACCAATTTAACTAATAATACGATTTTATCATTAAAAAAATAATTTAAACCCTTAATATTAATACAGTTATATATCATCACAAATTCGTAATGTTTCTACACATTTCGTTTATAATCCCTACATTTTATATTGAGATTAAATTATTAATGATTTAAGTCTCCAACTATATGATATGTATTAGCATGAATTTATCATTTCACTATTCATTTAATGGATGCATAATTAATTTTTTATTATGAAAGAGTGGCTTTCTATATTAATATCGAGATAGCATACACGACAACATCTAGACAGTTATGACCGATCTGATCGTATGCCCTGAGAATAGACGTAGAATACATAATTAATGTTTAAAATATGAAAATAATTTTGTGTGTAATCATCACACTCTAGATTTACAAATTATTACTTTAATCAACAAATATAATATGGAAAAGTGTATAAAATTTAATGTTTTGAGTATATATAAAATATTGGGTATTGTTGAGTCTATTAAAATAATGTACTTTATTACTAAATATGCAAATAAGCTATTTTAAATAATATGATTTGTAATATCTAAGTTGGTGACTATAGATAGTGATTTGATGAATTCAAATACAATTATTCAACAATCATGTGGATGATAATTAATAAAATATGGTTGAATTTGAAACATAAATGTTACCAAATGTTGCTGCCAAAAATGTTACCAAATACATTACATATTTACATGACAAGTTTACTGAGTCAAATGAAATAACAAGATTATAAAGACACACTACGAGAAGGATGTATGGTCATCTTATGAATTTGGAGATCTCAGTTTCAAATGCAAAATTAAAGTCTCACATTAATATATACTAGAAAATTGTTAGAATGTAATTCAATATTTCCAAATACTTTGTGAAATTCTAGAGAATCCTAGGACTATGTGAAGATGAGTAGAATTCTCTAGAATATTGAGGAATTATCTAGAGAAATATAGTACTCTCTAGATGTGTGTATAATGTTATAGAATCTTCTAGAATACTATAGTCTCTAGAGAAATGTAGAAAACTTTAGAAATGTCTAGAAGGTTGTAGAGTATTATAGAGTGTTATAAATAAGTGTGGAGCCATCTAGATTCTTCAAGAAGATATTGGAAGCTTGTGGGGGCTTATTGAAAGAATCTACAATATAGAGAGGTAGGTGGAAGATTCTAGAAAAAAGGAATCCATACCCCCTTGTGAGTAGTATAAATAGATGTTGTAGCCTTCATTTGTGTCATGAAAAGAAAGGCTTCTCGTAAGTGAGGAAGAGTGAAGTATTCCCAACTAAAAAGAGTGAAGTGAGATATTCGTTCATTTGTAAACTCTCTCTTGTACATTTCAATTATATAATACAAGAGTTTTTTTAGCTCGTGATCCTGGAAGAGTTCGGGGTGTCATGTTTCGCCCAACAAAAATATACACAATCTAAATACTTATTGTCAAATCAATTGCACACTATTAAACAATGTGGCTAAAGAATTATCAAAAGTTACTTAATACTTGAATTAACACAATGTAACTCATTACCTAAGCAATTTGATTAAAAGGACCAACGAATAAAAAACACTAGATCTGCATTTTTTTTAAAAAGTTGAATCTAATGTTTTTAAATAACCGCTTCTGCTTAAATGAAGGGTTTTAAAGTTTAAAGCAAATGACCGAAGATGTTTTTTAAACTACTTTTCATTTTTTTCAATTCTATTTTTTTTTTAACAAAATAGTCTAACTTATACTTTCCAATCAAAACCACTTTTCTTTGAAGAATTGCCAACTTTTACTATTCACCCCTTTTTAGGGGGTCTGGGGGCCTGGAGTAATTAGGGCTGAAACTCAGCCCATTGAATTTCAAATCCTTATATGCCTAACGAGTTTCGAACTCGAGACCTCTCAGTAGGCACGATAACCTTACAACCAGCTGGACTGGAATGCTTGATTACTATTCACCCCTTTTCATATAATCTCTAAAACTGGCTACTTATAAAAAGTAGAAAAGCAAACACAAATACTCCTTAAATCAATAGCTTAAAAGGCTAAGCGAGGGCTAGACGGCTAGTACATGATTGAAACGAAGCATTGAATTGGCTTTTGTTAAAGCAACACTTTCATAGAGAGTGTGTCCAGGGCTGGCCCTGGCATTGTGCCAGCAGTGCGGCCGCACAGGGCCCAACTTGAAGGAAGGCCCATTTTTTTTATTTAAATAACTAAGAGCACTCACCCTTCAAGCAAAATTTTCAGACGACTTCCTAAATCTAATAAGTTGCTGGCCGTGAGAGTCTAACTCACGTCACTTTGAGCAAGAAGCAGTAGCTTACCAACTCACCAAGTAATCTTCTTGGAATACATTTGTCATTAACAGTAAAAATATCTTTAAGGCAATCAATTAAAACATTCTATTACTCCCAATTTATTGTAATTGAACACATAATAAATTTAACTGTACGTATTGTCGGTATTACTTTACTTCCGCATACATGCAACATGTGAAATATAAGTCACAAAAATTACCATATCTCAAATTGTGTTGTAAAATTCACATTTTTAGTCAAAAGATTCATTTAATTTTATTCACTTAATTGGGATATTTAACAATTATTAATTAAATTTTAACTTGTATTGTTTAAGTTTGTAAATATTTTAATGCACTTTCTAAATATGTAAATTTTTATTTTTAAATTGAATTAATTAGCAATAGGGATGATATAACTTTATCATTGAGACAGAGGTAATATTTTTTTTACAAGGCCTTTTATTTAATTTTGAACAAGACCTTCAATATCTCAGGGCTGGTCCTGTATGTGTCCATTAGGCTACTAGTTAAGATCTCATCTAATCTAAAAACTTATAAACGCCAATGCAAGTAAGGGCATTTTAGGTAGCAAAAAAGTGTTGGTGGAATTGTATTTCTTTATAAAGTTGCACAATATGTTCACAACTTTGTACTTTTTGGTAATGGCCTCATCCCTCCGTCTGGTCTCCGTCAAAGTCCTGAACTTCGGCTAAACATCGCCTTATGCATCTCATCCGTTCCGTTTTCACTTGGTTTGTCTTTCTTTTTTCTATTGTTAATCCAAGGATCCATGTTGCTCTCCTTCACTCCTTCTATTCCACCCCTTCGTATACCCAGACGGCTTCAAGGGGTTAAGCATGCAATAGTTTCTTTCTTCTTCTCGATTATCGCAGCTTGGGCTCTATTGAAGCTGTACTACTTACTAAAGCTGATGGAAGTAGGTTCAAATGGTGAAGCTAGGTTCAACTATTCTTTCTGGGAAAGGTAGTTCGACCGAGTGGAATTGAAGATAAAAGAGCTCACGTTGAAGCACCTTTGAGTGAAATTGCCTACCCCGGAGGTGAACGTGTAGAAAGGGGAAAGCTGCATCTAACGGTAAATAAGATTAGCCATTACGGATCCACCCTTGTTCATATAATGCCCACCTTTGTCCATTTGCAGGTCCAATTGAGCAAATATGTTCTTCCCAGATGGATATTCCCAATTCTTATGCCCCTTTCCCTTTATAAGTCAGTTGTTAGAAATGCTTAAATTTCTTCGAAACATACTAGACTACTAATAAGTGTTTGTAAATATGTATAAATGATATTTTTAGATAAATACATTTTATGCTTATATATGGAGTAGTTATTATTTTTAAAAAGCTCACTAGGTGTTTTATATGAATTAATGTGTTAGCATTTCTGATATAGCCATTTATTTGGTTATCAAGAACTAATCAAAGGTTTACGCAACTGCATATTTGTGGGTGTTCCACCTTTCGTAAGAAGATCAAATGCTCTTATTAATCTTATAAGAGCTTTTCACTATTTATCTCAATTTTATTTTCTTTCTTTTCCTTTTGGTGGTGATATCATGTATCGATTCATGTTAATTAACCGACCCTAATATCTTTTGGGACTAAGGATTGGATGTTATTGTTGTTGTAGAAGGAGATTTTCACAGTTAATCTCAGTTTTTCTCGGCCTCCAAGGATTTGTATTAGTTTTACCACCAATAGGGGGCTCACGTTGAAGGATGTAGAATGTATGGATTCGTGTACGACTATGTGATAGGCACCAACGATGGAAGGTAAGATCATAGATGAAGGAATGTTGAACAATAAATATTGCAAAGTTTTTAGGAAAGGCTGGTTATATTTTCTCTCACAGAAAGCACTTGCAGTCGGAAAGCCTGATCTGTGTCCATTGCACACCGCATGGCTCAATAATATACACTATGGGTGGACTCGGGCCGGTTCGGACCCGGTTCGGGCCTCGGGCCAGAAAACTAGGGCCCGAGCCCGAACCGCCGGTGGCCGGTTCCGGTTCCGGGCCAGGCCAAACCGGTCCATATTTTTTTTTATTATTTTGGTTCTCCTATTTAACCCCCTACCCCTCCCCCTCAACCCCAAACCACCTCAAATGGCCCAAAATACCTAATCCAACCCAAAACTTAAAAAAATTTCAAAAAAAAAAAAAATTAAAATCCGGCCCGGACCGGGCCTGGACCGGCCGGGCCGGTTCACTTAAAGCAGGGCCCAAGCCCGGACCGCCCATCACCCGGGCCGGGCCAAACCGAACCGATGGACCCACCGGGCCCCGGGCCGGGCCGGGCCAAACAGTAACCGGGCCGGGCCGGTTCCGGGTCGGACCGCCCGGCCCGAGTCCACCTCTAATATACACCCTGATTCGCTTCTATCTCCCCCGATCCGTTTCTTTTTTAGTGTCTGTTATTCGTTTCTATTTTCCATGTTTTGAAAAGAAAAGAAAAGTGGCTGTATTAAGAAAAGCGGGTATTGTAAATAGAATTTCTTTTAGGAAAAACACCATCCTTTTTAAAGTAAAGGTGCAAATTAAATGTTTATTCCTGAAGACTTAAATGAACAAGTTAAAAATGTTCTTGGTCAACACATTTGATGGTAAATTGTGAATTTCGCTGAATAGAAGCAAGCACGTCCTAAATATTAGAATCATATACGATAGTATTTAACAAAAGTAATGTATTGAGCACTTATTCAATCGCGCAACGCGCGTGTTAAAATTAGTATTGTCATAAACATCACACATGACAGACATCAACTGTAAATGATAAGGTCAATTACTAGTTATATTTCACCTCTCTAATAGAATAGGTGAATTCTCACTTATACATCTAAACTTGAGTTCTAAAAGCTTCAGTTCTTATATGTAAGGACCTATTATTAGTACTGCTTGTATTATTTTTCAAACAGAAGCTGTAGAAACTGCCTAAATCATGTTAGACATATATATAATATAGTTGAGAGTGACTAGCTAGCTAAGAAAAGTTATTAAAAAGTTTCATTCAATTTCACTTTGGATAAGATCAACTATGGGTGGAGGCCGATATTGTTGGTGAAGCTATTTGCTGGTGATTGCAAGGCGGCGGGACAGGGTGGGCGATGAAGGTGGGAACGTCTTCCCCCGGCATCAACACTGACACTCCTCTAGCATACACTGTCATCTGAAATGGTAGACCAACAACGTACTAACATTCATTAGATTAAAAAGAACGGCAAACGAAAATGCAACTTCATATGAACAAATAATGTACTGATGTCCCCTACCATGTTTTTTTACTCCATTACTATTTTTTTTGTAATGGAGCCAAAGACTCACTATTTTTAGTTTGAAAATATGATGTAGTAAAGCAAAATAACTCACTGAATATATGCGCTTTTTTATTATGAAGCAACACTTAAACCAAACAATTTTCGATGCGATTTTCATCATGGGACATCTGGAAACAACCTCTTTGTGTTTTAATACATGGGTAAGACTATGTGCATTCGACCCCTTTTCCTTCTAATTTGTTACTCCTTCCGTCCCCCTAACTTTGTCCCGTTTTACCTTTTTTCATCTGTCTCATTAAGTTTGTCTCGTACCATATTTGGTAATATTTCTGTGGCTACAATTCATTTTTACTTTATTCACATTTTATCAATTCAATACCAACTACGCAATTCTACTTTTTCTTAAAAACTTTACCACACCTTTTTGTCCCAAACTTAGGGGGACGGAGGTAGTAATTGATGATGAAAATCATGATGAATTTGAGAATGAATTTCAAAGATTCTATTAATACCCCGGTGTCCTCAATTTCAATCGATTATTATGAGATTGATTCATTTGACAATGAATGTCTATATAGGTAGTTATGGATCTTTAACCTAAAACCACATTAGATGCATCTTATCAAAATTCAGCCACTACTTATCCATGGATTCGTGGATTTGATAGAACCAATGAATCTCTATTAAAACCCACCGACTCTTTAATCCTTACAAATCTAATTTAATACGAGTACTCTGTATGTCATACCAACCTTGTATGAACAAATACTCAACATAGGCCTCTCAGTCCAAACCGAGACATCGTGTCTAAAAGGGTCGAACATACCTTAATGAGCTAACTACTCCGTATATCACATGAAATTTTAATATAGAGAAACTTGATTGGTTCACATTTGAACTAATGAAGTTTGAATCTTAATTATATCTTTTACTCCATGGACCATGCCACCATGGTTCTATTTTATCATGGAATTTTGAGTTCCATGATTCTTGGATCCGTGGTTCAAATCAAATGTGAACCAATGGAAAGATATGAAAATCTGAATGGAAAGATAATCTGTATTCATCTTTTACTCAGTATAATTTTATAAATGAACTAATGAAGTTTGAATCCTAATTTTAGAGCTCGGTGATCAAATTACCGCAAGTCCACAAGAGATTAAAGATCTTTCCCACGGTTAATTAATTAAAGTCAGTTTTTAATGAAATTAGCAAATTTCGATCTAATTAAAAAAATTCTTAGAATCATTTTCATACACTACATCCTTTCTCTTAAAATTGTACTCCGTAATAAGGAAGAGTGGTGTTATTATAGATACTACTTTTGTAGTGAGTGCCTTGAGGCAGAGAGGCAATTACCTCAGGCCCCACAATTTTGGGAAAAAATTAGGGTCCAAAAATATATTACTAGTATCTTCTTTTATATATATACTCATAGCTAATATGCCAATTTGAATTTGCAACTTCCCAAATTCTAACTTCAAGCTTGGAAGAGTTTTCCAGTCTAGAAGAGTGGAAAACGTTAATTTATTCCTTTCCAAAATATAATCCCATTATTCTAGGTAAGTATTTAAGTATAAATATTTTTAATGTTAATTTTTTTATGGTGTTTAAGGGACTTATTATATGGATTCAGACCAAAAAATTCATAGGATCAGCCCTGAGTGAGTCCTTATTAATGATAGCAAGTACTATCTATAGCATCCATCTTTCTTACATTAAATCTATATCTGTAATTTTATCGATGCATCTCTTTGGTGTATAATTTCCCCCCTCTCACTCGTAGTTTTCTAGCCAAGTTCACAATGAGAATATTGAACAATACCGAATATACTCCGTATGAAATTTGAGTGGAAAGTATTATTTTGGCCAGATGGATTTTGCCAAATTTAAAGTAGGTGGAAAATATAAAAAAAAAATTATTATGTGGAAAAGAGAAAATTGAGCAGAACAATAAATTAATTGTTTTAATAAAAGCGAGAAAATTGAACATAACCACAAATTAATTACTTTAATAAAAATAATACTCCGTAGTAAAGTTTTTGGAACAACAAACTAAAAATTGACAAAATCACTAGAGTTTGTTTAACCAATTATTTAACCAATTTAGAATAGAACAAAACAAATAGTCATTTCAATAAGACAAACGCACATGGTGATGACAAAAAGGGACCCATAAGCGAAAAAAAGCAGCTAAAAAAGCAGACACAACATCACATTAATGTCACTCATGTTTGGTGTGAGATATCTTTAGAAATCTTTTGGAGCTAAAAACTACTCTACGGTAACTTGTACTCCCTCTATTCCTAAAAGAAGTTCCATTTCGCTTATCGAAGGTCAACTTAAATCACTTTGAAACTCTTACTTTTTATATCAAAATTTTATAAAAGTTGAATTATTTTTTGCAGGCTTTGTAGCGAGTTTAATGTAATTTCTGAATATATAAATTTTATTTACTAAAAATAATCCGAATTTTCACATGGATCATTTAACTTTATCGTCGGTCAACCTTCGTAATCCGCAATTGGAACAACATTTAACGACGGAGGGAGTAATCTTTTTATCTTTTACTCCGTATTACGTAAGACATACGGGCTGTGTGGCACAATAAAATTTGGAAAATTGTGTTTGTAGACTTCCATTTATACACGTTTAACGTTTTATATATGCCCATATATTTTATGTGTAGTATACTAATTAATCAAAGAACAAAAATTATCAAGACGCAATAACAAAAATTAACAAAGTGTTATATTAACACATGAGCTACTCCTCTTATCAGGTTGATCTTTTAGAATGAAGTCCAGAGTTTTAACATGATATTCAGACGAAATGTCTGGTCGTGAGAAGGGGTGTTAAATGTCCACACCAAAAAAGTTTGGATGAACAAAGTGATATATTAACATATGGACTACTCTTCCTATCAGGTTGACCTTTTAGGATGGAGTCCCGAGTTTTAACAAAATACACGGTGTGTACAAGACGGGATAAATTGATGTGTTTTAAAATCTTTCTCAAAATTATGGTTTATGGTAAAAGATGCTCTAAAAAAGCTTGTGATTCCAACCAAGGTGATTTCTATGAGATGGTACCGAATTTATATAAGAATAAATGCGGATGGTTAATGATCTTTTTGATTGACTTCACTTTGTGAAATAAATGAGAAAATTTCGATTTAAAACACAATAAATCAGAAAATCATATTTTAGTGGATGGGAGCATATATGCAGTAATCTAAGACAAAATTATGGCATATTGATATCTGAGTATGAATATTGTTTATGGGCCCTAGATATCAACTTCCTTACCCCATCAAGTTTTGTGTTAGAAAAGAATAAATCTAAATTGTTTGCAATCGCACCAAAACAAAAGCTCTATGAGAATAAAAAACAACAGACAATAATTCTGGAGGATAACTGGTAAGCAATGTGCCTTTTTAAATATTGCTATAATGAAATGTATTGAAGTGACACTACTACCCTTTTTCAGATACTCCCTGTTGTTCGTCTTGATTTAATAACCAAATATAATTAGGCTTTTAAGGATTTAGCAAGCTTACCGAATCTTTGTACTCCCTCCATCCTTTTTTATTAGTCCTTCTTTCCTTTTTGGAACGTTTTTTTATTTGTCTCCTTTCCCTTTAAGGAAAGTTTTTGAGAAAATACCCCTACTTTTATTACTTTTACCCCACTTACTTTTTACAAACTATTTTTTCTTTCCTACTTTACCATCACTTTACTCTTCTTAATACACTCTCTTTCCTACTTTATCACCACTTTACTCTTTTTAATATACCATTTCTCCTACTTTATCATTTACCCTACACACTCTATACTTATCCTACTACTTTATTATTAAATCCCGTGCCAAACCCTAAGGGGACTGATAAAAAAGAACGGAGGTAGTAATATTTTCTGGAAATAAACAATTTCCTCATTTTATCAACTTAATATACAGCTACAAATTAAATCTACTACTCCCTACTAGAAGCATTAACTTGAACCATAAGTCAAGTAATCTAGCCATTTACAGTGAAGGATATACTCCCTCCGTCCCTAATTTTTCTCCCATTTCGGCTGGGCACATTTATTAAGATAGTGAGATTTGTGTGGTGGAAAGTTGTGCAGAGGAGAGAGAAATGTGTAAGAAAGTGTAAGAATGGTTGTAAACCACAAATTCTTTGCCAAAAGGGAAAAGAGGAGATAATTTTGGGACGAACGAAAAAGGAAAGTTTGAAGATAATTCAGGGACGGAGGAAGTAGTAAAACTGTAAAACGTCTAGAACAAGGAAAAGGATTACAAAATACGGAGTATGATTATGAAAGATTTTTTTCTGAATCATCATCTCCGCTTTGAAATAAACAGGTAAAAAGAAAAATGAGTAACTGAGTAAAAGCGAACAACTGCCCGTCTCTGCACCCTGCTTCTATATAGTTATTTGCTTTAGTCACCCAACACATCATTATTATCTTCTAATAAAAATCTAATTACCATCGATCTTCATTCTCTTAAATCTTTAAGACCTGAAAATGGTTCGGCTACACTCTACGGCCGGACCCAAAGGCCCCTCCTTCGTTCATGAAGATTCATTTTTTGTTTTATTTTATATAGGGAAAATATATCGCATTTTCCTCAAATAGTGTCAATATTTTGAAATGTTGTCCATACATTCTCAAGTAAATGGTACTCCTCAAAAAAGGACTACATTACCGTGATGATATTTATAAACTTGAAACACATGAAGCCTACATTTTAATATGAATACTATTTGAAGACTCAAAATTGCTATTTTCCCTTTTATATATGCATACATACTAGTATAACATACTAAAAAAATACTTCATCCTGCTAAAATTTAACCGATCTTTGATTGGATTGTAATGTATTGAAGTGACACTAAAGGGGGTGTATTCAATATGGATTGTTGTGGACTTTTTCTAATCCATGGACTTTTAAAAAAGTCAATGGACTTTTAAATCCATAGACTTTTTTATGAATGAATTCTATGGACTTTTAAATCCATGGATAAGTTTATTGACTTTCAAAAAGTCCATAGACTTTTAAATGCGGACCGCCACTGCTGGTCGTCAAAATTTTCACCTAGATTGTCGCTACCGATATGCCTGTGACCTGTCCGCATCCATCACCGGAGTTCTCCGCTGTCGTCATCGGACTGACGCGTCACCAACAAAATGGCTTTGGTTGTGAAAGGGAACTAGGGACAATTAATTATATTAATTATTTATTTAAATTAGGGGTGAATATGTAATATTTATTCCCATTTAAGAAAAATCAAACATTTAATCATACTTTAAGAATAATGCTATGTTTTAGTCCTACCGTGAGTGATTTCCTCTATATAATACGGAGTACAATAAGAAATAAATAAGTAAGTAAGTAAGTAAGTAAGTAAGTAAATAAATAAATAAATAAATAAATAAATGAAAAAAATGTAATTCATATAGCAACACAAAGTTCTACAAAAATAAATGAAGCATAAGAATTCAAATTTATTTTTATTAAAAAAAACTCAAAGTTTCAAGAATGCTCGAGAATTTTGGCCATTTTATTAATGATTAAGAAAATTAATCGTTACACAAGCGTTACACTCATTGCTACATGTGGTACAAGCATAAATGCAATCGAGCTTTTCTACTTAGTGATTGTTTTCTTTTAACTTCTATCTTGTAAAAACTTGTATATGTATTTATGGTTATATATTTATTAATTTGAAATTATATTTTTATGTGTTAAGCGATTTAACGATGAAAGAAAGTGATAGTTAAAATATTTATTTTCTTAATGGTTAACTGATGACGTATCAGAATTGCATTGATGTAATACTATCGATTCTTATATCGATTCTTCTATAAACTTCTAGAATCGAATCAACATAGGATTACTGAATCGAGGGGGGTGGACTGGGGACGGCAAGCTAAAGAAGAAGAAGAAGAATGGAAGGAGAGGGGTGGGCGAGCAAGGTTAAAGAAGAAAAAGAAGAAAGATTGAAGAGGAAGGTGTGGCTTGGCTAAAGAAGAGTAGAGTTGGGGGAGGGGGGGGGGAGTAGGCTTGGCCCGAGGCCGGTCTGACTGGCCCGGGACCCGGCCCGGCCCGCCACTGTACGGGTCCGACCTGGCCCGTTGGATCGGTACCGGTACCGGGCCTAGGCCCGACCCGGGGGGATTAATTGGGGCGGTTCCGGAACTGCATATTTGAGGACCAGCCCGGCCGGTTCGGGCCCGGGTCTTATTTTTTTTTTTTTTTTTTTTTGGGGGGGGGGGGGGGGGGGGGTGGGCCTATGGTACGTAGGCTGGGTGTTTTGGAGGGGTTTGGGGGGGGTGGGGGTTGGAATATATAAGAAAACCGGAAAAAAAAATGAACCAGCCCGGCCCAACCCGGAACTGGCCCGGCCCAACCCAGAACTGGCCCGGCCCGATACCAGTAGACTCCCGGGCTGGTTCTGGGCCTTACCCAAAAAATTCCAAGGCCGGCCGGGCCCGACTCGGAACAGAAACCGGATCTGGCCCGGTCCATCCCTAGGAGGGAGGGGAGGAATGGGATGGGACGGGATGAAGAACCGATATAAGAAAAGTCCACGGAAATCTTTGGTGAGGAGAAGAGACAATTGCAGAGAATTTTTGCACTAAAAATGAGTTAAAAGTCCACGAGAATCCATGATTTTAGAAGTCAATAAGAATGAACGGAAATTTGAATACGCCTAGACTTTTATAGACTTTTAAAAGTCCGCATTGAATACACCTAGACTTTTGTGGACTTTTAAAAGTCCACATTGAATACACCTAAACTTTTAAAATCCATAGACTTTTAAAATTTTGCCACTAAATCCTAATACAATACACCCCCCTAAGAGGAGGAGGGAGTATTTCTTTTTCGTTTTGTTCCACTAAAATTGTCGTATAATAATTTGATAAAGTTTGCGTGTTTCTACCCTATTCAAACTTGATTCATTATAATAAAATACTTTTATCATAATAAAAAGTTCTTTTTTTAATTAAACGAGTTCTTGCCAAACCTCTCCATCTACATTTGTATTAATTTCTATTCGAAATTAGAAGACATTATGAAAAAGGTTAATATGGAGAATAAGAGTTCATTAGGGGACCAAGTTTTTCGATTTATCAGTCAACTTTTTAACCAAACGTGTATTTCGAATAACTTATTATTTTGTGCGTTGGATTGGGTAATAATAAGAAAAAGTAATGTTGAAATTACTTTTCTGGATATATTGGTTGAAATAGTGTAGATAATCATATTAGCTATTTTCCATATAATCTTTTCTTTATTTGATTAATAAAAAATATTTTAAATATAAATTTTTCACAAGCCAACATAATTATTCAATCCAGTCACTGTAGTCAAAATTCGTAAATTTCAACAGAATCAACTGATTCGACCACTATTTGTGTTACCAAACAGGCTATGAGTATTTAAAATTATCATACTCCGTTTTCCCATAATTTTACTTAGAAGTGTAATTTTGTGCTTTGAGCAGGCCGTTTAAAACTTTAAATACGATATGATTTGTGAAAGGTCTAAAATATGTGTGTTTCACTGTTATTTACGTAGTACTTAATATATAATGGTATATTTAATCTAATTTATTTAAATTTGGAATAGCGTCAGCCTGAAACAAGTCCAAGACGAAAACATCACCCATTAATGTAACCGGGATTTTATGCTACACTATTTTATCATTTTCTAATCCAGATTTTACGAATCAATAATTTTTTTAAAGTGATTATTATATAAATGTAAGTTTTAGTAGTTGATAAATTTTAAATATTTTCATGACGTCGGTCAAAACATCGTAAACATACTTCTGTTACAGTATTAAACTAGGAAAAATTGATAGTAATAATCCCAACTATTGGCGGTCCGCTTATAATAATCCCAACTATTGATTATTTCAGAATAATCCCAACTTTAGGGACCATCCGCCAATAATGGTCCATGATCAGATTTAACTCCTATAAAAAGTGAATTTTAAATAGAAATTAAGTGTAAAAATTAAAAGGTGAGATTATTTATAGGCATTACTTGCTATATCTCTTCTCATGCACTTTAGAAACTACAAGAATTTATTCTTAGGGACCATTATTGGCGGAAGGTCCCTAAAGTTGGGATTATTCTGAAATAATCCAGATTTTACGAATCAATAATTTTTTTAAAGTGATTATTATATAAATGTAAGTTTTAGTAGTTGATAAATTTTAAATATTTTCATGACGTCGGTCAAAACATCGTAAACATACTTCTGTTACAGTATTAAACTATTAATTAATTAAACAACAAAATTGGAATTCAACTCCAAGAGAAAAAGCAAAACATAAATTAGAGATTAAAATAGCAAGAGGAGCTAGCTAGGCCTTACTTCTGGGGATGGAAAACCGAGCTTTGATTGGATAGTAATGTGATTTGAGTCGCCGGACTGGGATGTGGATGATCTACCGCGTAGTAGCCTCTCAAAAATGGCCATTACAAGGAACATTAAAATCAGAATAGCAGTCGCAACGAATCCGAGCGAAACTGCATTTACAGAGCTGTCAAAATTCCGCCACTGATCGTCCCTGTCCGGGCCGCCACCGGCCGCCGGAGACACGCCCGGCGGCAGCACCAGTCCCCAACTAACACCGCCCCGCCCCATCCAGCAAATTTAAACAAACAGAGGAGTATTTCGATTGTCTTTCATGCATCACCAGGAACAGAGATTATTCAGCCCTAGAAACAGAAAGGTGCGGTAATTGCAGAATTGATGATGATAGGAAATGGAGATGATTCGAGCAGGTTGGATTTCAATTTGGCGAAGGTTTATTTATGCTTGATACTCTGTATATGGAGTAGAACAATGCAAAAGGATAAAAACAGGGAAGAAATTGAAACAGAGCGAGAGTTCAGGACAGAGAGCTAAAGAGAGAAAGAGCTCGTGTAATAGCAGCAGAGAAAGTGCCGTGATGAATGATAATGATGATGATATGTAGACAGAATTTTCAATCATTTTCAATTTTTCTGTTTTTTGTTTTATTTATAATAGACAGTGTAATTATTATGATTAGATTAATGACGTTTATTATAATGTCCATCCACGACAAGATTTACAAATTAACTACAGTAGTGATTGGAACTGCAATCCACTGGGGCAGAGAGTGGAGACTAGAGGAGGGGGTACTCCAATTTTAAAAGAAAGTAATTAGATGAGAAGTCAAATTGGACCTTACACAAAACAGTTCTATGTTCCCCTTCCCACAAAAAATCCTACTTTGATTTGGCACCATGTTTTATCATGTGATACTTGTTTGGTTCTGTTTTTTTGGAAGGATTGGAACAATATAAGTCCTATAACAGACTTGGTAATAGAAATGAAGATCAAAGAAATTTTTGAAACCAACAAAAGACTTTATGAAATGTATTTTCATGACAAAAGAAGTGATATAGCATATTTTATGGGTAATAGAAAATTAACAACATGGTTATTAGGTGTAACCAGTGTACTCAAATGCGGCAAATGGTGGCCGGGCCTAGGCGTGAGGTGAATGAAAAACTTCCTGCATGATAGAAAGACATGAAAAAGGCGATCAACGGGAGAATAGTTGATCACCAATGGCGTGGAAAGATGTAAGCCTAGTCGCAAAGGGCGAGATCTGGAAAGTAGTTTTTTTATATGAATTATTTGTTTTGAAAAAAGTTGATTACATAAAAAAATCAGTTTTATTTATGAAATCTAATATGGAGTAGTAAGAAGCAACAATATACGAAGTATCATTTTCTACTTGCACTTTTTATACATTTGAATATTATATATATTGGGAAACGTAAACAATAGGCTCAATTTTGAATAATAATTTTTAGATATATATTCTATCTTCATAATCACTATAAAATACTCCCTCCATTCTCCATTAGTTGTCCCTATAGGATTTGGCACAAGATTTAAGAGGGAAATAATAGGGGTAGTGTTAAAGGTGTAATGAGTTGTGTTTAAATGAAAAAGTATGAAAAAGAATGAAAAAGTATGAAAGAGAATGAGAGTAAATGAGTATATTGATTGAAAAAACTTTCCAAAAATGGAAAGAGAGACAAATATTAGAAAACAACCCAAAATGGAAAAAGGGACAAGTATTAGAGAATGGAGGGAGTATGTAGTAATTGTCAACATAAATTTAAAATGCCTTTGCACGTATAGGATTCATCTATTCTTGCCTAGATTTCAAAAGTTTGAGGTTTGGTTTTGTCGTCTCACCACGCCTCACGCTTTTTAAATCAGAGTGTAACACTAATATAGAATTGCCTTAATGGGAGTGTAACACTAATCATTTGTCAACAATTCAAAATTTATGTTTAAATTCATATAAAGGAAGACAATTAATATTGTTTCTCTATACTTTAAAGCACATTTTTGTTTTAATTAAATCTCTAAAGTCAAGACAAGAAATAAATACTACATATTACACATGATAATTTTCACTAAATAAGGAGAAAACGATTTGCACTATCCACCCTTAAGTTTTGAAATAATTGTTTCGATAGTATCGCTGAAATGGAATGTATTTATGAAAATATGACTAAAACTAGTATGAGTATTGTGTGATGATAATTTAAATTTAAAAGTTGAACATAAGTAAATAGAACTAAAAATACTACTTCGTACTATATATAGTCACTACCTTAAGAGGTCATATTTTTTACCGATGATCGCTGCACTTACCGCCTTTTGTGCCGCATCCCCATGACCCAACAATCTCCCAACACTTGTCAGCCTCAACTGCACAACATGCTGTTGCCGGGATCGAACTCGTGATCTTAGGCTCTGATACCACTTCAGAATCATTGCCCTTACTGTTACACTAAAAGAATTCGATGATAGTGTATCACACATTTCCTCTCCTTATAGAACATGCAAAGCGCCACATTTCAGATGCATGGTCAGGCTGGTAAATTTGCTAGCACCGCATCTCCGAGACCTGACATTTATAAATATCTTCATTTTAGTGAGAAATCTACATTTTACTATCCAAACATGTATCACGTCTAACCCTTGAGGTCTTTTCTGTACTTCTATATTTTAGTACTTACATCTTTTATCTCCTCCGACATTCCATCAAGATGGATTTCGAAAATTCGATTTGACAACCGGTACATCAGCTACTCCGCCTTGGTCGCGTATTTTTAGAACAAAACACTAATTCCCATTTTAGTTCTGTTAGAACTGATTGCAATTCTGACGTGACAACTCCTACTACAATTGTGTGTCACATAAATAGCTCAACCTCTACCACAGTGGCTGCTCCGCCAATACCCACTACGCTAGAGGCTAAAGATTCACCACCGGCGGATCGTCACATGATATACATAGTATTATCATTTTGTTCTCAATTGATCAAACCTCTCAATTAAGTACATGCACAATTGATTGATTAATTAATTGTTGTTGATTGATGATTTTAAGGATGTTTATTTATTTATAGTTGGAAATTGTAATTGCCGACTTCAATTTTTTATTTCGCTTTTTATCATTAGATATGTCATGCAAGAATTGATTGATTGGTTGTGTTAAAAAAACGGACTGATATCTATTCTTAAACCGACGAATTAGATGTGCAGACCGCGAGATGTGATGAGGCAGGAGAGATGCGATGTGCAAGAGAGACAATGAACTTTTTTTTATATGGAGTGCTGAAATGAAGGACAAAACTGGAAACTAATAATAAAGTTTCATAAATGGAACGAATAAATTTCACGCATGGAAGAAACAGAACCATTGTAAACATACTGTGATCTAGTCTTAAGGAGAGCAATTTTCTAGTAGTAATTGTGTCAAACTAAAACAAGACATCCAATATGAAGAAGACATGAAGAATTTCAAAATTCATGATACGATATGAACTTTTGAGGGACAATTATATTATACGTATGTTAAGACTCGGATTCCATCCTAAAAGGTTCACGGAGTAGCCCAGGATCTTAATAGACTAGACATTTTGTCTAGATCATGTTGTCATTATTTTTTTTTCCACTCATCATTGTTGTTTTTTATAATTGTCCAATGTCATTTTTCACAGGGACACACAATAGTTATAGACTGATTTGGCTCTGATACCATGTTAAGACTCGATGTTCATCCTAAAAGGTTAACCTGATACATATAAATATAACACTTTATTACAGAAGCATAGGAGCCCAAATATAATCATGGGTATAGTGGAAAACAAAGCTCATCTCGATGGAAAACGAGAAATAGCGATACAAGTAAGAAAAATTGCCCATTATTGTATTCTTAAAGTTGCTAAGTTATTAACTAATATCAGTTGTGTAATACATGCAAGCCCATGCATGGCTACATAGGCAAATACATAATGTAATATTTCTTTGCAATATTTTGTTACAAGTTAGTTGTATAGTTATGCACATTTTTGATAATCTTTCATTGTATAAATAACCATGTAACTCGCTCATTAGATGATATGCAACTTTTATCTTGTTCTATTAAGGTGTTCTTGGGTGTAACATGGACGGTGTGATCTTAACTGGTGGTGATTGTAATACATAGGTAGATATCAAAAGGATTAAAAGTAATATCCATCTAAAAAAGTTGCACCTTCTTTAAGGGACATCATTTGCGATGAGCTCCAGGCATGCTTGCACGAGAGTATGTTAAGGGCATGGTAAGTGACCTTGTCCAAGGGCGAGAGTGGGTAGCATGAATTGAGCGATCAAAGAAGGACGAGGTTGTGTCTGAGTTAACTTTTAATCAAGAGAGGAATAAAAGTAAAGAAGCTTTAATGGAATTAATTCCATCTCCAACCTAGTCAATAAATCCCATAGTTATTTGCCCAAAAGCTCTTTATTAATTTAACATAGAACCCCTTATATAGATATTTACAGGTTGACTAAAAAAATGGGAAAGTGAATTGCTATTTAAATATAACTATATTAAAGGAAGACTATTTAAAGTAGGACCAACTAATATTAATACTAATACAAATAGGACTCTAAGTATTTGCTGATTAATATTAATACTAATAGGACTCTGACTGTTTGCTTTATACTTTTAGGTGCTGTTCTGTTCGTCTTATTCTTATTACTTATTACTTATTCTTATTTTATTCAGATCAGATCAGACCAGATCAGAAAAATTCAGATCAGATCAAATCAGATCAGAAAGATTCAGATCAGATTAGATCAGATCAGAAAGATTCAGATCAGATCAGAAAGATTCAGACCAGATCAGAAAGATTCAGATCAGATCAGAAACATTCAGATCAGATCAGATCAGAAAAGTGCAAACATGATTTATCACTTTTATTATTATATTAATTATTATTATTAATATTGTTATTACTATTATGATTATTATATAATTATTATTAATAATATTAATAATAATATGATAAAAAAATGAGATATTAATATAGTTATAATATTTTAATATAATAATAGTAATATAAATGCAATTATTAAGAAGACTATTATTATTATTACAATATTATAATAATAACAATATGATTAATATTATTATAATATTATATTGTAATTATATGTAATTATAATTATACTTACAATTATAATTCTTATAATTATAAGTATATCAATTGTAATTATTATAATTATATCTATAATTAATTATAATTATAATTTTAATTAATTATAATTATAATAATTATAATTACAATCATAATTATAATTATGATTATAATTATAATTATAATATAATATTATAATAATATAATACTAATTATAATATTATTATTATTATTATTATTATTATTATGTTATTTTAATAATAATATTAATATAATAATATCGTTATAATAATATTAATTGTATTTATATTACTATTATTATATTATAATATTATAATTAATGTTAATATAATTATAATTATTATTAATTATAAATATACTTATAATTATATTATAATTATAATTTATGATTATAATTATTATTTTTATTATAATTATTAATATTATTATTATTATTGTTA